CTCTCTATCTGTCTCTATCTCTCTTTCTCTCTCTCTCTCTTTATTTGTGTTTTTCACATTTTGTCTCTTTGTTTCTTTCTTTAATTTTCTTTCGTTCAACTCTGTATGTTTTGCCTCTTGCCTGTTCCCCACCCCCTCTCCCCCCTCTCGCTATCTCCTTCACACTCAACGGTCCTCTTTTACTCCACAATGTTGGTGTCTCCATGTTTTGCCCTCCCTCATTATCCCCTCTCCTTGTGTTTACTTTTGTTCTTTTTCTCTCTCCGTTCCTCTCCCCAACATTTTGTCTTCTTTACTCTCTCTCTCTCTCTCTCGCTCTCTCTCTCTCTGTCTCTCTCTGTCTCTCTCTGTCTCTCTCTGTTTCTCTCTGCCCCCCCCCCTTCTTTCACCGAACTTGTAAAGCAGTGTATTCTTTTTCCCGTGGACAGATGGGGAGCTGAGAGAACAGAGCGTGGAGACATCATCAAATACTGGGTAAGCTCACTATCTATCCAGCCACCAATCCATTAAACATTTCATCGGGAGCTCTCGTGGCCTAGGTGTTAAGGTGTTCACCTCTCCTGCAATAGGTCCCGGGTTAGAATCCAGATAGCAACGGAAATTTGTCTTCTCGAAGACTGTCTGTTTTCACCTCCTTTCCTGCTCTCTAGCGATGTTTGTCGTCCGTTTTCGCCTCTACTTTCTGCCCCCATCCCCTCACCTCCTTTGCCCCCTCCTCTGGGCTCCTGACTCTTTCTGCAGCCTTTCAACTGCTACTCCCTGGTTCCTTCTTACTGTTGTCTTTCAGCCACACCCTTGATCTTTAGTAGGAAAGATTTACCCCTAGCCTTCTCGAACAAGGGCGAAAAATCTCAGAGGTCCCGTGTGCAAGATGCGCACGTTAAAGATTCCTTGGTGGTCCAAAAATCGATAAGAGTGGGCTCCGGCCGCCACCTGGGCAAAATTTCCTACCCACTGAAAATGTTTAATGTGTCACACACGCTCATATAGCTTTATGCAGTTGCGAGCACCGAAAACACTTGCCAAAAAAACCCCAACAACAAACAAGCAAAAAAACCCCAACATTTCACCATTCTATTTGTCAACCAAGCCATCACGTGACATAATAATTACACAACCACACACACCCCCCTAAAAAAGCAAATCTAAACAAAACACAAATCACAAACAAAATCAGCCAAATCAACCGTGGACGGGTATAGTTTCAATTTCAGTTACTTTTGCGCTGGGAATTAACTAAAATAAGCAAAGGGAAACACACACACAGACACACACACACAGACACACACACACACACACACACACACACACA